CCTTATTTTATTTTTAAGAAATTAAATTAATTTTCGAGGAGTGATGACAAATCTGGTGCTTTGATGTGAAAAATGAAATTAATGACCAAGGACAGACACACACACACACAGTGGACTGTGGGAGGATACCACGACCAGCCACCAGATGGCGGCCTGATCTGACAGCTCATAGACACGGAGGCAGAGAGCAAGACAGAAGACGCCTTTGTATTCAGGACCAGGTTTTTAAGGGGGGAATTTTATTTTTAGGATGTTTCTAGGTTGTTTTTTTTTCCCATCGCAAAGCCTCCTGGTTGTCAGGCTGTCGCCCGGTTGGCCGGAGTATTTACCGAATCGCTGTCCTGGAGAGCCCAGTGTGTCCGCAGGTTGTCCAGGCATGGATACAGCTCCCGCCCCAGACGAGCCAGGAGAAATTGGTCCCGTTTCGCCACTAACGAGCTGATTCTGCCCACTCAGACCCCAGGTAGAGTGAAGTCCGGTCGAATCCTTCTGGGGACAGTCAAGTCGGGTCCCGTTGTACAGCAACGAGCAAACCGGCAGGGGGAGTTTGTGAGGACAGTTCGCCCAGGTTCAATCAGAAACCCGCAGAACTCTCCTGAGGCCATTTCCTCTCTGCACGTGAGCACCTCCTCTCCCTCATGTACTGTACCCCCCTCCCCCTCCGCAGTTGCCCCTGGGTCGCCCCTCGTCCCCCCTGGCCAGGAGGTCCAGCCAGATTTCCGCAGTCCCAGCGGGACACTGCACTCTCGCTAGGCGGTGACTTATGTCCACTCGGGGGACGTTACAGTGACCTCGGCTCTGCCCCCCCTCCTCGCAGACCGCCCCCCCGCCTCGCTGTGGAGTCGCGCTGGAGTGCCACCTAGTGCACGGCGCCGGTATCGCGGGTGTGCTCAGACCCCAGCGGAGCGGGAGAGCCCCTCGGAACAGGCCCGCTCGCACCTGGGAGTTCTTGGGGGGGGCGCTCGTCTGGACCGGAGGGTCCGCGGGCCCCTAGCCCGGCCCGGACCCAGGTGGACGGAGCTCCGAGCGGTCAAGCCCGGGCAAGGGGCTCAAAGGGAAGCCCCGCTCGCCGGGGGCAGTGGGGGGGGGGCGGGGTGTGAGACTCGAATCTCTCGCCCAACCCCAGCGCACCCCTGTGGAAACAGCCCCGCCTCCAGCGCGCTTACAGAGAGACCCCAGGGCAGCGGGAAACACGCTCAGACAAAGAGGACACCAGTGGACACCAGCGAGCCCCAGGAGACTGCCCTGCGAGGTGTGAGCACTTTGTGCCCTGTTCTACCTGAGAACAGAATTCAGAGTACAGACCGTTAAAAGCACAACTGAATATTGCAATAGCGTGAGCACAATACAGAGCTACAAATATCAGAACCCCCGGGCAGTAAAGCAGAGCTCCGGGACCTGACGATAACACAAAACACACCAATAAATAACTTGAAATAAATAATGCCTTAAATAGACTTAAACACGAATAAATAGACAGTTGAACCCCCTCAGGTACAGGCCTTCCCCTCTATCGCCTCTATCTAAGAGGATCAACCCTCATATTCCTGTCCACGCGAGATCAGTGTGACAGAGCTGACACTGCGAATTTCCCGGAGAGTCTGTGCCCTTGCGGATTCCAGACAAGCAGGGCGTTTCGGAGTGCCTGTCTGGGCACCCGCGCCTGCGGTGGAAGAGGGGATCTCTCCGGGCTCCCTCAGGAAGTGGGAGGTGTTGGTCCCAGTAGGCTGAGAGAGCCGGTGAGCCCTCGGACCAGCGACGTGTGACAGGTCTGGGCCCCAGTGGTGCGTGTGATCGCTGTCCGGTAGTGGGACTGGCCCGAGGAATCTCCTCGTGGTGTTCTTCTCCCTGGGCTGTGGGAATTGTGAGACGCCGCTTGGTGTTTTGGCGCTGCTTTGAGCCGATGTGTCTGCTCATCTCCGCTCCTCCCTTGCCTCGCCCCTCCCTTACTTCCTGCTGAAGAAAGCCGGGCTGAGCAGGGCGTTGGCCAGCTCGAGTCCCGATCCGAACGGATCTCCCGAATCCAGGTCCAGAGGATTCCGGTGCAGTTTCAGCTCCGGAAAGCTCAGGTCTTCGTAACCCAGAATTTCCTCCCCCGGAGGCAGGCGGCTGATCACGGGGAGGAACTGAGAGAGAGGGGGCAGGCGTTTCCCGGGGGGCAGCTGTGCGCGTCGCGCCGGCTGGAGGGACACAGCCCGGCCGTGACGCACCGACAGAAAGAGGGAATACCCGTCCGGCAGCACCAGCTCTGTGAAGGTGCAGTCCGCCTCCGAGAAAGTCCTCTGGCACAGGAGAGAAGGAGAAGGGAGGGTTGACAATGAGGCACACACTGATTCACCCTCCACCCCCGCGCACGGCTGGGAACGAGGACAGCAGTGTCCGCTTTCCCTCCTGGAGGGCAGCCCTTCTGCATGGAGGGGAGTGTCAGTGTGAGGGTGTGAGGGAGCCAGGTGTGAGGGTGTGAGTGTGAGGGTCTCAGTGTGAGGGTGTGAGGGTGTCAGTGTGAGGGTGTCAGTGTGAGGGTGTGAGGGTGTCAGTGTGAGGGAGCCGGGTATGAGGGTGTCAGTGTGCCGGGTGTGAGGGTGTGAGGGTGTCAGTGTGAGGGAGCCAGGTGTGAGGGTGTCAGTGTGAGGGTCTCAGTGTGTCAGGTGTGAGGGTGTGAGTGTGAGGGTCTCAGTGTGAGGGTGTGAGGGTGTAAGTGTGAGGGAGCCGGGTATGAGGGTGTCAGTGTGAGGGTGTGAGGGTGTGAGGGTGTCAGTGTGAGGGAGCCAGGTGTGAGGGTGTGAAGGTGTGAGGGTGTCAGTGTGAGGGAGCCAGGTTTGAGGGTGTCAGTGTGAGGGTGTCAGTGTGAGGGTGTGAGGGTGTCAGTGTGAGTCAGTGTGCTGGGTGTGAGGGAGTCAGTGTGCTGGGTGTGAGGGAGTCGGTGTGTCGGGTGTGAGGGTGTCAGCGGTGTCTCTCACCTGCCCTCTCAGGTGCCCCAGCTCGTCCATGCACAGGTAGAGAGAGGTGTGCACTCCCTGGATCACTGTGACCTCCGAACTCAGAGAGCGCAGCTCCAGCAGACCTGAGAGAGAGAAGATAGAGGATTGTCTGTCTCTCTGTTTATGGCTCTGTGTTTGTCTTTCATCTGTCTCTCTGTGCCTACCTGTCCACCTGTCTCCCTCTCATCTGTCTTTCAATCACCTGTCTGTGTCCTGCATCACAACCACTGGCGGAGCTTCTAGACACACACACACACACACACACACACACACACAC